CAAGTTCAATATAACACGGTTTCATCTATAAGGCGGTAAGATTTTTTGGCTCCCGAGGACAGCCTTATATCGCGGTAGAGGTGTATTTTTATTTCCAGTTTTGAACCTTAAGTGCTAAAATATCCCAAGAAGGCCTCTTCTCCCAGTAAGTCCACGTGCTCCAGCCAGTACTGGAAGGAAAAGCATCAGAAATGCATCAGGAAGTGTGTTCCCATGAGAATTCCAGGTCTGCGGTATTCAGATGCTTACATTAGGGTGTAGCCCATTTGGAAAGCTTTGGATCAGCATCCACATTAGAGACAGGTCTAAGTGATGAAGTATTGAACTGGATTTCCAACATCTCAAAATTCAGAGGGAGGAGGGGAGACTGTTTCAGGTCCAAGGGTTCTGGTTTAGAACCTTCCTAGAGGTAGCAGCCAGCTGCAAAATATGGGCATGGATCTGGGCTTGGATTATGCAGTCCTCTGCTGCTCGGGGGGCATTTGGCCGAGGAGAAATGGGGTGGGTCAGGGCCATTCCCCATCGAAACTTGTGGATGCTCATGTGACGTGAGCCCAAATGCATAGAGCCTGGTGGGGTCACTTCTCACCGACACCAGGATTCACTCCCTGGAAACCAGTGGATATTTACACTGTATGAATGAGAGGCAAATCAGTGCCAGAATCTTTTGAGATTTACCCCACTAGTGAAGCAGGAAACGCAGGGAGGAAAGCACCCACGCAACTTTTGCCCCAACTTAGCAAATGCATACTTAAACGCGCTGCAGATTTATGCTGAGCAAAGCAGTTTCTCAGACAAATAAGTTAAAAACAGCTCGTTGCTGGAAAATGTCAAACGCACTTGTAAAAACTCCAGAGAGAGAAAAAACGAACCCTGCTGCATCCTTTTCTTCTACATTAACAACAACAACAAGGCAGATCTTCCACGGACAGCGGCCAACAAAAATACACCAGCTGCCCCACACAATTGGGCTCCACTTGTGAGGAGAGAAACAAACAAGCAGGGTACATTGGAGAAAAACACTTTTGAATGTACATGTATATATAAAAAAACCCACTAAAACATAAAATGGGGGGTTTAAAATGTACACATTTGGGAGAGAAAAACAGGAAGCTAATCAGGTGGTTACATTCTTGTTTTGAATCCTTCCCTCACTTTACATCAGTTATTCAATCTGTAGCTAATAATATTTAATTCACAATGCTTTCTCCTTCGGCAGTACATTATTATTAACCTTTTGAATTTTGGTACTGCTTGGTCCCAATGAAGATCAAAGCCCCAAGCGAAATGCTGTATCTACACACAGCAAAAGACAGTCCCTCCCTTAAAGAGCTTTTAGTCTAACTGGACAAAAGGGACAAAGGAAGTGCTGTTATTATCCTCTTTGTGCAGGTAGGAGCTAAGGTACAAAGAGACTGAAGGCCAGATTTTCACAGCTGCTCAGCACACTGCGTGATCAGCTCTTGAAAAATTTGGCACAGATGTCCCAAGACAATGCTGGGTGCTGAGCAAATCAAGCCCAAGTTGTGGGTACTGCAAACTTGGAAATCTGATCCTGAGTGATTTACCCAAGATGACAGAGAAGGCTGTGGCACAGCCAAGCACTAAACCCAAATCTCACAAGTCCTAGTTCAGGGCCCCACCCACAAGAGCAAGACACGAGCAATTACAGCACCATTCATACAAGGATCTCAAAGCACACTGCAAATATTAAGGGGCAGATCATGAGAGACGCTTGCATGTGGCTGAGGGGCCATGCAAGAAGCCTTCCCCTCTCTTATGAAGCTACACAACAGCAATCACCTGTGCCATGGGATGCTGCATAATCCTGGCCATATCACTTAGCCCCCTTTTACAAGTGAGGCCCAGAGACAGTAACAACAGCCTCCTTTGGAAAGCACTTGGAGATTTCCTGATGAATTGGGCTTCACATGTATCAGGTATTCCATATTAATTTACTTTCTTCCTTTCAACGGAAGGTATTGGGCAGTGCAGGAGAAAAGGTAGAGAGGTGGCAGAAAAGCAAGTGATACATTTAGTGAAACAAGGGGTGGCCATGCTGGGACATGCTAACTAATATTATTTAGCTCTCGAGTGCTTCACCCATGGAGTTCAAATCACTTTACAACGGGGGCAAGAATTAGAGCTGGACAAAATTTCTGATTTTTTTTCAATAAAAAAAAAATTGATTTTGACCGAAATACCTCTCAATTATTTACAAAAATACTCTGTTTTTTCA